CCACAACATATTTTTTATATCTAAGTTATTAGCAAAACATTGATGTGCCCTCCAATGCTTATAGAAATCTGCTCATTCTAAAGTCCTCAGCAAAATTTCTCCAGAGTCACTTCCAGCTATCTCTCTCTCTCTCTCTTTTTTAACTTTTATTTCCATATTAAAGGTTTTTATTTTTCAAGGTACACAACATGGTATTTTGATATATGTATATATTGTGAAATGATTATCACAAACAAGTTAATTAACATATCATCACCTCACATATTTGTGAGATTTACTTTCTTAGCAAATGTCAAGCACATGATACATTAACTATAGTCACCATGCTGCATTTTAGGTCTCCAGAACTTATTCATCTTATAACTGAAAGGTTATACCCTTTGACCAATATCTCCTCTTTTCTGCTATTCCCTATTCCCTGGTAATCACCATTCTACTCTCTGTTACTAAGAGTGGGTTTGTTTTTGTTTTTGTTTTTAAGATTCCACAAAAAAGTGAGATCGTGTAGCATGTGTCTTTCTGTGTCTGGTTTACTTCACTCAGCATAATGTCCCCCAGATTCACTCATGCTGTTGCAAATGACAAGATTTCTTTTTAGGAACAAAATAATGAAAAATAGTCCACTTTGTATATATAAGCATATACCACATTTTATTTAACCATTCATCCACTGATGGACACAGACTCATCAAGTTTCCATTATCTTGACTGTTGTGAATCTTGCTGTCTCTTTGGCAGTCATTTTTGTCTTCCTTTCCCTAGAAAGGGTTTTTTGTGTGTGTGCTCTAAATATGTCTTAGGAACTAGTGATTCAGAAGAAACCACTACTTTTAGCATGCTCTTCAGTAAACTCAATAAATGGAAAGCTTTGGCTTTTGTGCTTCTTTAAACAGTACAATCAATTTTCAGTTGAAATTTTCTAGTTAATGTGACAGCTCCAAATTTCTCCAAGGTTCAAGAGACTGGGTTGGTGTTGTTGACTGTTGCTGCTGCTGCTGCTGCAGTTGTTACTATTGTGGTTTTGTTGTTGAATCTATATTATGCATGAATTATGCTTTAGCAATAAATTTAACTTGAGCTCTGAACTTTAAATTTGTATTTTTTGTTCTTTCAGGCTGTTGCTTGCTTACCTCACAACTGTCTTGCTCAAGTAAGAGTAAGCCTTTAAGTGGGACACTTTTCATCATATGGAAATTCACATAAGAATTTTCAACCAGATTTCATCTTTATTTTTATTTCTAAATTAAAGAGTACAGGAATCTAATGTAAACGAATGGGAATAAACATTACAGTTAGAATTTATCAGGGTGTTAAAAAAAAAAAAGAATTTTTTTTCCAAACTAGATTGTTTCAAAAGTGACCCTGATTTCTAGATTTTAAAAGTTAGGAATAAGATAGCAAAATCGACCGGGCTCAGCCTGTAATCCCAGCACTTTGGGAGGCCGAGACGAGAGGATTGCCTGAGATCGGGGGGTTCGAGACCAGTCTGGTGAGACCTCGTCTCTACAAAAATAAAACATCACAAAAACTAGTGAGGTGTGGTGGCGTGCGTCTGTAGTTCCAGCTACTTGGAAGGCTTAGGTGGAAGGATCGCCTAAGCCCAGCAGGTCGAGGCTGCGGTGGCCATGAGGGTGCCACTGCTCTCCATCCTGGACGACAAAGAGTGAGACTCTGACTCCAAAAAAAAAAGACTAGTTTAAAATCAGCTCTTTCCTTAGCGACTTCGTTAGATCATGCTCTGTTTAGTACTAAAACTCAGAGAAGTTCCAAGGATAGCGGGACGAAATCTAAGCAATTCGCCCACGCGAAGGTGCCAACATCCTTCGGGTTCACTCAGTAAACCAGGGGTGGGCTCAGAGGACGGTTTTGCATTTCTCACCAGGAGATCCTAGTCTTTGGAAAGAACCCTAGGGGAAACCCTTACTGCCCTGCCTCGTTCCTGAAAACTTCCGCCAGAGAACCAACTCTGTGTGCTAAATAAAATGGGAGGAGTCCCGTGGACGCTAATTTCGGAATGCAAGCGGAATGCCGCTCCGACTCCGCCCGGATTTTCTGCGGGCTGCTCGTGGAAATCGACAGGTGACTTTGCCAGAATGAATTAGTTTTCGTTCATTTCACATTGGCGGAGCGCCTGTTAGTGCGTCTGGCATGGTGTCCATTGTCAAATAAAATGACTTTAAAAAAAAAAAATACCTTTGGCCCTCAGCAAGGCTCCAGGCACTTCCTACAAACTCGAGGAGCGCTTGCGGAATGAGGTCGTCTTCGGCCCTCCCTTCCCGAAGAGACAGACCTGAGATCGCTCGAGGCTACACCAGCGCCCTCTGGGTGCAGGCTGTGCTTAGCGCCTCCACAGCACCAGCCTGTGGTTTGCTGCCGCCAAAGATTTCACAGAGGAATTCTTGTGTGTTCTGAAGGCTGAAGGCACACACGACCGATCCCGCAAAGTGGCATGGCCACAAAAACCTGCTTCTAGAGTAGTTGTCTCTTCACCATGTTGCGGTCTCCCTTGCACGGGTGCAAGTCAGGAGATCGCTCCTTAAGAAAATGCATATTACAGGCAAGCGTCTTCCAGGAGGTCCTTAGGTTAGAAACCCCTGGTCTGGGAAGAAGTGGCTACCGCAGTAGTATTGGCCGCCGAGCGCCAATAGGCTTTTGCAACAGGCCCACGTGGCAGCGGCCCAAACCCTACGCCCCACGCGGTGGCCGCACTGCGGCCTTTGCAAGTTGCCACGCGGCTCGGTACCGAGAGCCCAGGCCCAGGTTCAGAACCTAAACTGCTAAAAAGAACCGAAGCTCCGAAATGGGCCTCAGTAGGGGCTGTCTGCCTCCAGCACGCTCTAGGGCTCACCGCGCCCGGGATCCGCGGTCCTGAGCCCTGCCCGCGACGCAGCTCCCCTTCCCCGGCGCGCGGCGTCCGCCCGGGCCAGTTCTCCCAGTCCCCGTCTTCGAAGAGTGAGAGTCTCAGACACCGGGTCCCAGCTCCAAGTCTTTAGTCCCTCGTGTTGGTGCCGCCCAGAAATTAAGAAGGGGGAGAATCAATGACAGGCATCCTGGAAATGAGGCGTTCCTGCTGCCTCCTTGCGCGCGGAGGCCACCCACCCGCGAGCGAGCAGAGAGGCAGCGCGAGGCGGATGCGGCCTGGGAAATAGTGAGGCTGCCGGGGGACTGAAGACTGGCGTGCGGACGGGACACCGGGGTGACCCGGAGCTCCGTGGCTCGGGCCGCTCACAGCTCACCTGGGCGATCGTCCCTGCTCTCCCTGGGGGAACCGCGAGCCGGGGTTCTCCCCCAGAGGCCCGGGATGTCGCTGCTGCGCTCACCGCTTGCAGCGTGCGGATGGGCGGCTGCGGATCGCGCGCTGTGAGCTCAGAACCGGAGATCCCGGGGACGCCGAGAAGCTTCTTTCTCCTCACCCCAGCCGCTGCGGGCAGCGAGTGCCTCAGTCGGGACCTCGGCCCTCCTGGGCGCGCTTGGAGCTGGACGCTCAGGCGGAGTGGTCTTGAAACCCGGTTTCACGAGGTTTGAGAGTTGCCGAGGCCGTGCGTAATTTGGTGTGATGGAGAGCGCCTACTCTCGAGCGTGTGTGCAGGTACGATGCCAGCAGGCCGTCGTTATGCGGGTGTGTGGACGCGACCGCACGAGAGACTCAGAGGCGGGCTTGGGACAACTTTGAGAGTGAACTCCTAAGGGTAGCCTCGTGCGCCAGGGTCTGCTTTTGGAGCGCCCTGCTTCGTGGAGCAGGCACACGTTGGAAGACAGTCTGTGTGTGGAAGGGTGTGACCGGAGGTGGGCGTGAGCTTTACTCCGGGCAAGGACTCCACCGCACCGCCAAGCCTGCCTGCCCGTCAGTCGAGGACCGGAAGCGCAGGAGTAGGGATGCGGGGTCGGAAGTGAACGCTACTGGGACACCTGGGCAAGCAGCAGCCCTAAGCGAAGGAACAGCTGTGCAAATGGCTCAGGCAGGTGGACCGAATGAGTGGTGATGGATGGCAGGGTAGGAACGGGAAGGGCTGGAGGATGGATGGAGGCGTTGGCATCTGTCCATCCCGCTCCTTGGGCCCAGCTGGTCCTCTTCCTTCTCTTCACATATGTATCAATCAGATCTGAAGAGAGTTGGGACCATCCAGCGTGACTTCAGGCAGGCCGGCGAGGTGGGGATTCGGAATGCATCAAACGAAATCTTAGGTCTGGCCCATGCGGACCAAGAAACTCTTCTAAATCCCCACCTACCCGGGAGCCAGGCACTGGGCTACTTCTCACAACAGTCCTTCAAGTGGAGAACTATGGTACCATTTGCAAAGTTGAGTACATCGAGGTTCTGTGTCGTTACCTGCCCACGATCACACAGCCTGGAATTGTCGCAGCTGAATGGAACTCGGGTCTAACAAATTCTTGCTCCGAGCTCCACCTCCTTTTTCCCCAGAACCCTGGCCCTCTGTGGGTGACAGCAGCCACTGGAATCAGACAGTCCTCTTGGTCTCAGAACACACCCGAAGCCATGAACCCTTCAAGTCTCACTTAGGCGGGGGTCTAGAGTCAGACTTGGCACCAGGAGTCCCCATGACCCTGGACCCTACCCTCCAAACCGCACAACGGGGGGGGGGAGGGTGACGCACAGGCTCAAAAGCAAGCGGGACTGAAGAGGTGAAATTTACCGTGACGTGATGTCAAACTGCCCTCCAATTCCCGCTTACTTTAAGGGCGTTTCTCGTTGGCCCCCCACCGCCCTCCCTCCCCCATTTCCATCAGTGACCTCAATGCAAATACAAGTGGGGCCGTCATGCCGGATCCTCCAGATTCTGGAAGCGTGGGAGTGACGCAATCCGGCTGGGGCAAGGGACCCCTCCGCCCATTGGTCGCTCTGCGCTCGGGGACCCCTCCCGGCCCACAGCGGCTGGAATAAGAGCGGCCGCCGGCGCTGGAAGGCATCCGAGCCACTGCCCAGCCCAAGTGTTGCCGCCACCTCCGCAGGGTCCTGGCTGGACACCGCTGCTGCCGCCGCCGCCGTCTCTGATCCAAGCCACCTTCCGCCAGGTGAGCCCCGAGCTTCCTGCTCAGACAGTCTCTGTTAGTCCGGGTAGGGCTGGACATTCCCAGTCCTTGCTCCGCTGTTCCTGCGCAGCTGCGGGCTCCAGCCTCACGCTCCCACACTGCACACATGCTTAGGCCAGTCTCCGGACACCCAGCTCCCCAGGCGCCGCGCTCAGAGCGGGACGCAGGAGGAGCTTTCCGCAGACGGCGCGTTCGGGGATCGCGTTTGGCGCCTGGTGGTCCCGGGGAAGTTGGTTCAGAACCAGGGCCAGCGCGAATGGGTGGCAAGTGGGCGCGACTTGGACTGCAAGCCCTAGTCGCGGGCTCTGGGAGCGCAGTGACAGGGCTCAGGTCCCCACCAAGATTGTTAAGCTTGGTTCTTGCAGGGGGCTAAATTGCCAGAAGGCGGAGCAGCTGAGCACTACAATTAGTTCTTCAGTTTCTCAGAGATTCCAACCACAGAGATATTCCCTCTCTCTGACTCTCCCGTCTCTCTTCCTCCCAGATGTATTCAAAAGCCCCACGAGAGGACATGGGCTTCCTTATGGGAGCAGCTGTTGTGATCAGGGCTCCAAGCGTGTCCTCCATAGAGACCTGGTTAACTGATGTGTGTTGGGGAAGGAGGGGCATTGGTACGATTAGGACCACGAGGATCAGTGCTCCAGCTTTGTCAAACTATACGTGCTACAGGCCCACTGGACCCTCCAACAATCCACTTTGCCGATGAGAAAACAAAGATGAAAAGAAATATAGTGACCAGTCTGAAGCCACAAAGCCAGGGAGTTAGAGGCAGGGCAGATACTGGGTAGGAGTCCAGGTCTGTGGGCTCATAGAACTCTAAAGTTCTAGGCAGACACTGACTGACTCATTCTTCCCTTGCAGAGAGGCGTTATGGGCTTCCGGAAGTTCTCCCCCTTCCTGGCACTCAGCATCTTGGTCCTGTATCAGGCAGGCAGCCTAAATGCAGTACCATTCAGGTAAGACAGCCTGAAGCCAGGAACACATGCCCCTCCTGTTGCCCCTGGGATCAACCGATTCTATGCCTTCTTAATTGTGGTGTGCTGAATGCTTAAAAATGGATGCGGGGAAAGGGGAGGGGGGTTGTATGTATGTATACACATATATAAATTTTTCTAATATAAAGATATGTAACACAATTTTTAAATAGTTATAAGATATGCAATACTCAGCCGGGCTCAGTGGCTTAGCCTGTAATCCCGCGCCTTTGGGAGGCTGAGGTGAGTG